TTACATTTTTGTGCACAGCTTTTAATTAAAAATCTAATGAAGTATAGTAAACATGTTTCAACGTCTTATTTTTAACAATGGTTAAAATAGAAAAAAAAATCACTTCAGAAGTAAATTGTCAATCCATAATTAAGATTATCACTAAAGTCAAGGCAACTCAAAGCTCCAAGTTCATATGAGCAATGCAGCAGCTGTTCTTTCTGTTGGAATTCCACATTCCCATGGAGTGGTCCAGTATCTCCAAATAAAAGACACTTTCGACTAACATCAAATGGAACGCATAGGCCTGTGATATGAAGCTGGTTACTTGAGTTCATTTCATGGCCATGGCTAACTCTCCAATCTCCAACCTTCACTAACAAGCGTGGTGAGGTAAAGTCAGAGAACCCTGATGACCAATATGAGATGGGAAGGCCTTTATGCAGCAGTAGATTGAAAAGTACATCACCATTATTAAATACGTTACAAGATACATCCATTACCCTCTAAAACAAAATTAATCATTCCACACATAATGCAATCCGTGAATGGAAGGCTATGTCCTTTCAAAAGTAACAATTTAAATAAACATTTTTTAAAATTAAAGTTGATGAACAGTAACAAAACAATAACATTAGTTGATGTACATAAATGAGTACTGTTCCTTGGAAAGGGATTTAAACACAGTTGCAAACACAATTACGTGATGCCAATGCTGTAGCCCCCGACCCCACCTTTCAGAAAGTGCATTTTGTGAGCTGCAGGCACAACATAATGAGCCATATAACTTGAGCAGAGTTATGAGCGGAGCACTAATAGGACAATAAATAAGTGTGGGCTCAAGAAAGCTGCAGTGCAATGTTGGGCAGTTATCCTTGCATTTTTTTGCATGTGCATTGTGTATATGACCGATGAGTTTCACGAATGTACATTTTATGATCTGCTATTGCTTGATTTTGATGGATTGGAGCGTTGGGCTTTTATTAATTCACTTTGCATTTCTGTAACGTGAACATGTGGTGAAAACTCGCTAAACTCATATTACAGCAAATGTTAAAAACTTTCACTCACATTCGGTAGTTGGGAAAATAACATTAAGTCATAACCGTAGAGGTTAACTAATTAATTAGACACTGGTTCAATGTGCATTTATTTCTCGGGACATCTCACACAGATATCCCAAAGGAGCACACGCTGAATTCCAGCTCGGGCCAGTGTTTGACTCAGTGGCGGCTCCTGCAAAATCTCTCAGGGGGGGCAAATGTCTGGATGATTGATAAGGATAAGGTCCACCGATGCAATGAATAAATTAACAGCTTAAGCATGTAAAGGCAAGTTCACTTCTTTAATATTAATGAAAAATAACGTGACTCTTACAATACATCTTGTTTGTTTCTATACTCACTATTAATACAATCCACTCAAGTTTCTTTTATTAAAGATTCCACTAGGTAGCGATAAATTATATTGTTGGATGAAACGTGCTTACGTATGATGACGTAAACACGTTAGGGCGAGCCCTCCCGGAAGCCATAGAAAATGCAATTGCAGCGCCCCCCGGTCGAAAAAAAACATCTTTGAATGTAAGTCTATGGGGCCACTCGGGGCGATTCTCAGCCGGAGTGAAATCGCCCAAAAAGAGGCGGTACTCCACAGAACGTGACATGACGCTGATTGGACTATATCCAGAGGCACAGTGACGGCTAACGTGACTCTGTGGTTGAATGACATTGGTGGTGCGTCGCCCAATCGCCCTAATGAAGAAACCGCCCCTGGTTTGACTCCACTAAGTGCCGTAGGGCCAGTGATGGGCAGCCCACCTAATTAACGTTGCATTTTTAAGACCACATATATGAGCAGTGCATTTCTCACGTTGCTAAAATCCCAACTAAGCAAGGGAAGCGTCCTGGTTGACCAAATAACAATGGAAAAAAACAACACCAAGCAAACACTTGAGCGTTTACCGATTGTGGGACCATTTGTGCAGGCCCTGAAAGTACTTTACAGCACTGTGGCAGTGCTACGTTTGAAATGACAGACGTTGTGTGTATACTGAACAGTTACATTTCACAGGCTGGAGAAGTCAGCATTCAGAGCGTGAGAATAAGATTTCTGCTCGAGTGAATGATGCCACGTCTCAACGCCCGTGCCACTCAATTTGGTTAGGAAAAATACCAGCTGCTTTCAGTATGATCTTGCATACCCGGGCCCGAAACATGAAAGTATGCTCTATCTTTATGTCCTTCTGTTTCATAAATGTGCAGCTGAGGCTCTGACCAGCTACCTATTTCAATTGTGTAAAAGCTGTATTTTGTTCATCCCTGAGACAATTCTCCAATTTATATTCAAAAATCTGGTGGCATGTCATCAAAGTAAAAACTGACAACTGCGTATGACTTCCAACAGGGCTCCATTATACTGCAGCACATTGAAGGTTACAATTGAATGCTTGTCTCTGGAGGCTTCAAGTCTCAACTGACATTCAGTCTGGCAGGTGCTCGCTGTGACTATGAAGCTGATTGGGAATACGAAAAGGAGCTCTCAGAAGCCACTATACATTTTTAATTCAGCTATGTGCAGGTACACTATTGGTCAACAATGAGTTTCCCTAACTCGTCAACAAAATTATCTATGTTCTGTGTTGCGTTGTTATTTTAAATAATTTCAAAACATGTTCAGACACAAACACCAATGTGCAGGAATGTTGCTAAAAAAAACTAACAGTCCTGTCCAGTGATGTAGCCATTTATGAATGTTAATTTTCATTTAGAGAGATCCTTCAAAGAAAATTATTTGTTCTATGCATTGCCTACAATATATACACATTAATATTCTATAGCACATTAACTTGTACGTCACAGTGATATATACTTGACTACGTTCTTTCATATAGCCTATTCTGTCATATCATGTCATATATGCCAAGTCTAATTCTTTACTTTAATTGGCTTTACAGTATGTTAATTATATTTTTGTTAAATTAAAAAGTAGGCCGTTAATTTCGGATGTCGGTTTTTGTTAACGTGTCCTAATTTATGTTGTGCTTTGCACACCCATAAACACCTCTGTGATCGTTATGACTCAACGCATATGCCTGATTAGTGATGATGTTTTCCGGCTAAAATATATGACACCTATCCAGATGTATAAGTGATAGCAGGTATAAAGTAAAGATTGAAAACATTATTCTTTAATTTTCATATCGTTGGAGAAATGTTAACTACCTTGCCTGGTATACAGGAGGTTGTTGGTTTGATCCCAATCCTGATGCCTGCATATGTGGAGTTTGCAGGCTCTCCCGATGGTTACGTAGATTTTTCTCCAGTTTTCGCCTCCACATTAAGAAACATGCATTTAGAGTATTTGGCTGCTATACATTTCCACTTCATTGAGCTATCATATGTGGCTAGGTTACTTCTAAAAACGAGCTATATGGCTCAGTGGGCTTCATCTAGTAAAATACAAAAACATAGTTTAGTTTATGTAGCATTTCATCATCAGAAACATTGGTTCATGAACATGAACACTGATGATGAATGTACCTTGGAGAAATGAACACTGAGAATTGCACTTATAAACAGAGTGAGAAACGAAAATAAAATCAGAGAGGAAAACAAATCAGAGATATTATATTGACTGTGAGGGAATTGGCTTGGGCAGGATAGTTCTCGACAAGGCATGGTCAAGACTAATGACAGAGTGAAAGTCAAAGGAGGGAGCAGATCTGTGCGGTTGGCCAACGAGGAGATGGACAAATGAGATGATATCATATGTCGGAGCTAAATAGATCATTGTCTTGTGTTACCATGAGAGATGAAGGCTTGTGGAGGCCTTTATGCAGCAGTGGATAGGTCATGGATGACAGTGACGATGATGACCAATTGAGAACAATATTTAGGTAATTGTATGCTTGCTATGTTGCTATATATATTGAGGTCTTCTAAATCTAAAATGCATGAACATTGCACACATTTTGTGTTTATTGCATGATTGGCCACCCATTGCTTATTTATAAAACTTTAACATTTTCATAATTGTAATGGAAGTTGAAGTGGTATGTAAAATGCATTTAACAAATAAAAAAACATTCAGTGCACACATTTGTGTCAATTTGTGCCAATTATTGCCACAAGATTACAGCCCAGACCCAGTCATTGAAATTTGAAAAATGCATTTAAAGAATGCTGGCATAAATTAACAATTGGAATATAAGCATACAGCTTCGGATAATTGTGGAGAGAGGGTGTCTTGTGCACATTTCAGGGCTCAAGATTATTACCATCATTATTTTCACCGCCTTTGCCATTCCAAATTCCAAATGATTAATTCATCTAGTCTGATTATTGAAAAAAACTCTGACGACAAAACAATGAAATAATTTCCACAATGTTTTATCCGTCAACATAAATCTGATACAGACAACACATACCCACACATAAACCGCACGATCGTGAGTTATTGTGAACCTGTGTGGCAATAGTGTCGCATATTGTGAACTCGGTACTAAATCAGCAACATAATTTTTTCATCTAATTGGGAAAAAAACAGAGTGCAATAAAAAGTCCCGTAGTTTGATTCTTGTCTCAGAAATTGACTTGTCATCTGATTTTGCGAACAAAAAATACTGTTCTCTAAAACTCCATGCGCAGAAAAGTATAATTTAGTGAATGTCGTCTGACCATAAAATACTGCAATGAAATCTCTGCAGCCTCATTCCTGTCTCAGAGTTTGACTTTTTGAAACAGATTGTAGGAGCAATAAAAGAAAACCCGCCACTACATTATTTATAACAAAATCATGTTTTTTTCTGCACAATCTATTGATGAGCAAAATCAAAACGTTCCATCGCCGAGACAGGGAATCACCCCCTCGATCGTTACAACCTCATTAATGTTTTCATGGGCTTTCACTTTTCTCTGCCGTGTCCCCGTCACGCAGAAATGGCCACGCCAACGACGAACGTCAATCCAAGTCAAGCTCTCACGCGGATGCGGCACGCCGGCCCGTTCCGCCTCACTCACCGTCGTAGCAAAATCCGTGGACGCATGGCGAGGAGGCACAGTCGTCAATATTGGTCTCGCAGTAGGGCCCAGCGAATCCTGCAGGGCAGCTGCAGCTGGAGCCCATCGGGTGCACGGCGAGGTCAGCTTCTTGCCGACACACCGCCGCGTTCTCGCACGGGCTGAAGCCCTTGCATGGCACCAGCTCACAGTCAGGTCCTTGACGCAAGAAACACCGAGCAGCAACAATAACAACAGCCAAAAAGTTAACGGTTTATTCGTGTGGCACCGTTACGCATAAATGACAAAGGTATTTTATGTTACTTAAACCTGCTGGGCAGCTCTGCGGTTGAGGCAAGGGCGTGATTAAAAATCGTACGATAGCGAATTAAAATCCCGGTTTAGAGTTTCAACTCAGCTGTCAATCCCTCCTAGGGTCAATAAAGCAGGGATCACTTTGTAGGAAGTCAGCCGTGGTTGTCCTGTGGAGTCAGGAGCGCCACTATGGGGGGGTTGGTATGTGACAGCTTTATGTGACGCATATGGCCCAGTCAGCCACAAGGGGGGCCCCGAATAACCAGATACACAAGTAAAATTTTAAAATAAGTATATACTTAAATGCTTTCCAACAGTTAACCATTAATGCCAAAAAACATAGTTACAAATGAAAAAAAAATCGGAATCAAATACACAGCAGTGTAAATTCTAGATTTGAAGCTTTCGTGACTGCAAGGATTCATACTGTTAGGTTTTTTTCGGTAAAGTCACGTAGGTAAAAGTAAATAATAAAAAATAAAAATAATAGAAATAATAATAATTTTTAGTGTAAAATCTAGCAGCGCTACTGCTGCTGTTTGTTACTGGACACCGCCAGGCTTGAAAGCAAGACGCACGATAACTCAATTGTCTTCCTCTAAACTCGAATACACGGTGCAACTAAAATAATATATATATAGTTATAGCCTACATGTAATCTTGATTTGAAGCTTTTGCCTGGTGACGGCCGCTTGTGTTGCGATCGAAACGTCGTGATTCGTTTTATTTTATTTCTAACTACGTGACTTTCCCGAAAGAACCAAAGAGTATAGCCTACATATAATTGTATATTTTAGTAAAAGTGAGTCGGGAGAAAGGAGGTGGGGGGGCCCACAGTCGTATCTTGCATACCCACCCCGTTGAAATATTCCGTTGTGCCCCTGTGTGGAGTGACTCTAACCCAACTACGCAATGGGGCATTCCCCCCCACTGGCTCAGTGCTGTAAACAGAGACGAACACCACCACTCCGTACTCATTGGGGCAGCAAAATAAAATTCAGCGATGCTCTTCGTACAGAGTGTTGGGCGAAAATGCTGTTGGCGAGCGCCCACTAAGGCTGACCCGGCTGCCTGAACTTCTCTCGTGCTGACGTTGACTGAACAATAGCAAGTCAGAATTTTAGAATGAGTTTACCTGCGGTCTCAGATATTTTCTGAAACCAGTTGCTATTGGTAATGCGAACAGTCAGCAACTGAAACGAGGTCATTGGGATTGCAATGCGCTAACTACTTCACCACCACTCCCCAGTCCCCACTTATACATTCTCTCTCTCTCAGACATACGAGGACTTATAATTTATTTACTCCTACATAGTAAATTACTCCTACATAGTAAATCACAACAGCATGTCCATTTGAACAAACAATGTTATTTCGATTTAAAGCTTTCGTGACTGCAGGGATTGATCTTCTTGGTTCTTTCGGTAAAGTCACGTAGAAGGGAAATAATAAAATACTAAAAATAAAACATAAAATAATTCTCACGACGTTTCGGCCACAACGCAAGTAGACGGCTGCTTGCGTTGTGGCCGGAACGTCGTGAGAATTATTTTATTATGTTTTATTTATTTTATTTTATTATTTCCCTTCTACGTGACTTTACCGAAAGAACCAAGAAGAAAAAAACAATGTTATTATTAAAACGGCTTTGTTGCGGCCATATAAAACAGACAACAAGGCAAGGTCAAACTTTCGGAGGATGTCATAATTTGAGTGTGCATCTTCACTCTCATATTCCAACTTTGAAAGTAGAGTACTGCTTTTTCCAGTATGTAATATGTAATCTAGTAATATGCTCCAGATGTTTTGATTAAAGAGATTATAATTTCGTAATTTCACGACCATGTAAGAGGATGCATATGTTGTAAAAGAACAACAATGATTATAAATCTACAAATTACCCTCCCGAGTTGTAATTATAATCCTAAAAGTTGCGTACCCTATTGCGAGCCTGTAATTGTATTTTTTTATGCACCAGCTCCCAAAGTCTGCCGCTGTATTATCGACATCGTTTGAGGTAGGAGGACACAACTCTGCGTTACAAGGCTCAGTATGAAATCGTACAAAAAACAAATCTTACTCTACCAATTACAACTGGCACACGCGCAAAAATCAAGCCAAGGTTTATGCTCAGCATGCACAGAAATGCACGTTACACATTTCCACACCTAGGCGTGTCACATGGTGTTCTAATAACAGCATGGAGAAGGCTCTGAGAGAATTATCTATGGATTCTCCATCTCACGACGTGATGCCGATATGAAAAATCGGGGTACAAGACCTCACCAACCGTGGACAAACAACTGCAATCAAATAAGCACACACTCAATGATGTATCTTTTCAAGGTCCTGCTGGAGTGAGCATCGACCCATGCAGTGAGAGACGTACCTTTAAAAGGGGCGAGGCACTGGCAGTAGTAGCCTCCTATTAAATCGTGACAGGTAGCACCATGCAGACAAGGCGAGGAGCCACATTCATCTATGTCCATCTCGCAGTGAGGGCCTGTCAGGGACAGAGAGACACAACCGCCAACAGCAATGGCAACATCTCCCTCTCGCAGGCTGCCGTACGTCTGTAACGATGTTGTACGTGATGCATCCGTCAGGAGAAACAAGGCATAACAAGTAATTGCCTATCGGTCAGCGCTGCTGTATACGTGTTGCAGAAACGAATTGTTTGAATTGTAAAATTGCAATTAACGAAGTACGCGCGTGATGCGTTTAGAACTTTTACATAATGTCGATTTTTTACATTATTCACCCGCAAAAGCTTTGGCTTGCTCTCGAGACTCGTGAGCAGGGGTGTTCGGCATTGGATGTTTGACCATTTCTTATTTAAATATGGAAAGTAAGTGGAGTGCCTGGATGAATCCACACAGATGCGGGGATAATACTAAAGCGTCCACAGATTGCTCGGGTCAACAACGCAGGTTTAGCATTAACGTGTGCATTCAAATTTCCGAGGCCAATCAAGCGGTGAGGATTTCAGCATCACGCTGGTTTGCAGGTGAACAGAATTATACAAATTAAAGGACACAATGGGAGAGGCAAGGGAGACGGAGAGCATGTGGAGGCAAATGGAGATCTGTTGCTCACAATATCAGTGGCACTTGCCTCAATTAGGCAATTGTTATCCAATTACAGACATTTAGGAAATGCAATTCGTTTTGAGAAATAACAATGCCCGACATAGAATGAGGCAAAGATCTCCTGTTCAGGGGTGTGATGAAAAACAAGCATGTGGCAACGAAATGAAAAGCAGATCATTTTTAGGTGCAAGACGCGTTGCTAAATTGTGACAAGGAAAACATGTAGTATTAAATGTTACAAAGGGCCATGATTGCAAAGGATTACACGGCCATGATTAAGGATAATGTAGTGATGCTGAAGCATACGTGGCAAACACATGGCAGGGATTAAACTAAAACTAAACGAAACTATTATTATTTTTCGATTTAAAGCTTTCGTGACTGCAGGGATTCATCTTCTTGAATTCAGACGCTGTCTTTCCGACAGACCTGTTCTTCACCTGAGGACGGATGCTTGCGTTGTGGCCGAAACGTCGTGAGAATTATTTTATTATGTTTTATTTTTATTATTTTATTATAATACCGAAAGAACCAAGAAGATATTATTATTATTTTACCAGATAAGGCCCACCGAGCTACGTAGCTCCTTTTCAGAAGCGACCTGCCCACAAATGATAGCTCAACGTAGTGGCTTATCAGGTGGAAATGTATAGCAGCCAAATACGCTAAACGCATGTTCATTCTAAATGTGGAGGGTAACACCGGTGGACCCTGAGAAAAATCCACGCAACCACTGGGAGAACATTCAAACTCCAAATATACAGCCGTCATGGTCGGGATCGAACCCACGACCTTTCGAATACCTCGACACCATTGATTATAATACAACCCAGTCAGCCCTTGTGCACCATCTTGAAATACGCAAGACTGCTTTGGGGTTCTTTGTGTGAAAGAGTATGTTTTATCACAGTCTGGCCAGTGTGGCCAACATGTCTCTTTTGACAAAAAACTCTGTGTCTGGAAGGACATGAGCAGTTTGTCGAGGTGAGTGAATGAATGAAACTAAGACTACATGCGTTTGTGGATGAACATTGCACAAAGAAATATATGGTTTGTGGATGAATGCAATTTGCATGCTTCCCTTCAACATGGGAGGTCACCACAATAATAAAAAAATAATCTGATGTTCCAATACAGTATCCAAATTTTATTAAAATGATGTTGTTGAAATGAAAATGCAATTTTAGGCATCTGTGAATGATGACAGTGGTAAAAAAACGTAAAACTCTTTCTCAGGGGCCAAAATTATTTACAAACAACTGCCACAACTCATTTGTGGCTACTCTGGTATGGTCAGGTTACAATTCAATGAGCCTTAAGGGAGGCAATCGTCTCGATTGGTGAACCGCAGCCCAAGGTCGAAATTGGCGGTGGAAAATTCCTCATTCATCATGCAAAGCATTTGTTGGCTTCCTACAAACTGGCCCTCATTGAACAACCATCGAGGAATGATGACCTTATTTGATCTACAACTGGAAATGTATATGTGAGTCGAGTGTTCTATCCCAGTTTAACACGTTTTTCGTAACCAATTTTATCCATAATACAGGTTTATGGGTTAGATCGCGTAAATATATAAAAGTGGCGTTAAACCCACCACCACCCGACACAGCCAATTAATAAGGGTTGTCACGTAAACACAACATGCCAATGCGTTACAAGCACAGCATACCGGTGTGTTGGAGAGCCAAGCCACAACATTTACAATCTGAGTACAACGTTTCGCCAGTAATTACAACTAGCTTCATCAGGCGACAGCCAGTTTGGCTCTCCAACACCAGTGTGCTGTGCTAGTAACGAATTAGCCACGTTCTGTTTACGTGACAAACCTTACTAATTGGCTGTGTCAGGTGGTGGTGGGTTTAACGACACATTTATATATTTCCGCGATCTAACCTCCAAAAAAACCTGTATTATGCTCTATCCCAGACCACCGAGACCAGTACGCTGCATTTGGTCTCCTGTATGGTACATCTTAAGTCTGACGCCTCATGGTAAATAATGCCTCGAATTTAACATCAACACAGGTGAGCTCTACCACATAATCACGTCATTCTTCCTCTACATGGCATGGTTGGTAGTAGATGGTCCATTGCTGCCTATCCATGTGAAAGGTTCATACCGATAGGAAACGATGAGGTTGTGACTCGGAGGTCTGAGCTCTGAGCCGGCACTGCTAAGGTCCTGGGAACACGTCTGGGTTTTAGCTGCCTGTGGCCTAATCAGGTGCTTTAGTGGAGCAAGTCGTTGATCTCAATTTTCTCAGCCCTGGTCACCAATGATTGCACGAAAATAATATCATTATGAAATGTGGCTTTGCGAATTATTTATCAAAATTTGTATCTCTGGGAATTGAAAAAGTACCTTTTTGTTGTTGTTGGTTATGTCGAACAACCTCAGAGCAGAGTTTGTAGGAAAGTGCCTGTCCAGTTGTACAAAGGATAAAGAAAGCCAATTTAGGGATTTATTTGGGAGAATTCTTGTGACAAATCACTTTGTGCAGGAGTTCTCTGACACATGGGGGTGCATTTCCCCGCGAGACTTCTGAATTGATTTCTCGTCTCAGGGCATCGATGCCGATAGCACAAATTGGAATTAATGTTGATGAAAAGACCAACAACAACAAAATAATATTTTGGAAAAGACCATTACAATGCCTTTGTGAGGGTTAGACCAATTACGATGTGCTCAACCAGCTCATAGAGAATAATTGATAATGTGTCGGATTATTGCCGTATACTCCACCTGGATTGGATCTTGTTTAAGATTATATTGCAATGTTCCACCGTAAAATGTTACCGTGACATGTCATATTAAGGATTTTGGCAGTCTGTTGCATTGCAATCATTGTACTGTGCTTTGTTTTGCTCTGCCTGCTTTTGTATTTTCTTTTGTATCCCAGGTGTACCATGAAAAATAGACTTCGAGTATCAATGTACTCTTACCTGCTTTAAAGATAGTCACTATAAATGTACCATCTGAAGTCAAAATCGGAAAGTTAAAGTACTGCGGACACATACGAAGACAGGGAGAAAGGGAAGGACATTTGATAATGAATGACGACGACGACGATGATGATGATGATGATTTTAGGTTTGATAAGTTATAGGCGATTGATGGATGATGAGATGATCGTGATGAACTAAGACTCACCAGTCAAGCCAGGCGGGCAGAGGCAGATGTACCCATCGACGAGATCAATGCAGCTTCCATCGTGGAGGCACGGGGATGACGAACACTCATTCACCTCTTGCTCACACAGGCCACCTGCAGAGCGGCCAGGATTGCTTCCAATCAGGCCACAACTTGGTCACACGACATCGCATGTCAGTCCTATTAAACCGACCCCCTACACCCGGTGCAGTACATGTGCGCACGGCGGTGCAACTTGGCGCTTTCTGTAGACGTTCACACATCCGACGTTTTCACTTGCAGTAATGTGTTTGTGATCTCGCATACGTTAACTTTAACTCGTAAAGCACAGGAAAGCATTTTGCAATGTTTAAGTGGGGTGCTCTATATGCTTGTATTCGATGAAATGTGCCATTCACCAACTAATCTACATGTGTTACATATATTCATATTTCATTCAGGTTAGGCTATTGTGTCTATCTATTACTAATATTTATATGTCTCCATTGCAAGAGATAATCTGTGTGAATGGGACACGTAGAATGAAGTAAATTATATTTGTAGATATTTGTTTAAACAACATTTTTTTTAAATACAGTGTAGCACTAATTAAGGCGTTTGATTTTACAATTTAGAATCAAAACCTTAATTTAAAACATACACAAGTGCATGCAAATACATCAGCTGCAACGATACACAACACCCTGATCCCACCGGCCATTTTATAGGTTTTTTTGGCCAATCAAAGTAACCGAAGAATACCACATGATGAGTTAAACCATTGGAAGACAAAGCATGGACATGATCATATCAGGAAGCAAGTTTCTTTCATGTGGGCACTTTATGTTACAAGTTTAAGTCTAACATTTATTTTTTGATTTAAAGCTTTCGTGACTGCAGGGATTCATATTCTTGGTTCTTTCGGTAAAGTCACGTAGAAGGGAAATAATAAAATAATATGAATATAAAACAAAAAAAAATTATCACGACGTTTCGACTGCAACACAAGCAATCATCATCAGATGTGAAATCCACAGGTGTGAAATCCACAACATGGATTTCACACCTAATGACGATTGCTTGTGTTGCAGTCGAAACGTCGTGAGAATTTTTTATTGTTTAATATTTATATTATTTTTTATTTCCCTTCTACGTGACTTTACCGAAAGAACCAAGAATACTAACATTTATTCTTAAGGTTAATACATTCAAAGCCCGCATTGTTTTCACTCAGTTGTGCAATGTATAGCTCGATAGTGCAATGTGTAGCCATCTGTTAATCCCCTGCTCTCTAAAGGCCTCCTCATAAAGGCTTCACCATGGCAATTAGTGAAGAACAAGTCCAGGACCACTTGAGGTATCACTCGCCAATGATGTCAGCCGCGGCTGGGAATGGAAAAACTCACGATGCCAAGTTTAAATTAAACGCGCGCGCTCCAGCTCCCCTACATAAGATGAGACCCGTCTAAATGGCAACCTTAAACCAAAACTAAACTCCGCAGCCTAATGTGGAACCGGTAAAACTTAACGGTCAAAAATTGCACGAAATACTATTTTGGTGCCGTGTAAAGAGCGGTAATGAGCAACTCACCCTGAAACCCGGGCAAACACTCACAGCTGAAGCCATTACGCATATTGTTGCAGGAGGCTCCATTCCAACAGGGAGAGCTCAGACACTCGTCAGCCTCACTGTCACAGCGAGCACCTGCCAAGGAGAATGATGACTCAAGGCGACAGCTCTATGGAGCACTGCATTCAAGCATAATCTTCAATGTTCGCAAATGGATTCTGCTCGGAAGCCCAACGCTGATATCAGTGTTTACCATGAGGCTACGACACACCGGCATTTAGAATTTAAATTAGAAATGCTCCCGTGAATACCTCAACTTTGTGATGGAACAGCTGGACATATATATACAAATACGTCTGTTGTGACATTGATTGGCATTTTTTTATTAAGCAAAATTTTGGGAATTTAAGCAGCTGAGCAAGAGAATAGCAACTTCACTTCATCTGGTAGACTTATTTTATAATTAAACGTGAAACCTCAACTTTTGAACATTTTTAGAAATTTCGAAGAAGCAGCTTTTGATTTGACGAACGCATTGTTACATTCTCGTGCTTGTTAAAATGCACGCATAAAGTTACATGGTAATATATAATGGAAATGTGCACTTAATATTTCAAAGGTTATGTGGAAGGTAAAAAGTTAAACACAAGGTTGGAACAATTCACCTCTCCCTCCAGGCACTTTATGAATTGTCGCATTCAGGGTTACAATTAAATTCTCAACGACATTATTTGAATTAACGCCGTGTTTATTGGTGGCGCCTCTAATGGCCAAAGGTGCTATGATGACAGCCACCCTTTACATCGAAAATATACAAACTAATAAACATTAATTACATACGTGCAATGTGATTGATGTGGTACGAGTTAAATAATGTTTATTAATGGATGCCTTTATGCATTACGATGAAATGTTTTAACATTTAAAAATAACTCTAAAGAGCCATAATGATTAGGTCGTGCTTTGAATATCTAAAATGTAGAATTGAAACTCATTCCATATAAAGGTCTCCTAAGAAACGCATTCTTTGCCGTTAGCAACTTAATACCAACTTCAGTAAGTCTGACATCTCTACTCGGCTGGCCTTGGCTTGGATATTAGTCCTGCCAGCTAAATCTGTCTCCAAGATTGTGGTGTTGACACGTGATGAAGTGTCCTTCGGCCTGGCACGCGTTTATCGATGGCACACTTAAATCAAGAAGGATCAATCGAGTCAATATGTTGATGGATGCTGTGCCTATGAAAACGCTATACTTAGTGTCACCTTAAACTGTTGGCTACTGGCAAAGGAATGGTCAGCCAGCTGAGCTCATCCAGCATTGTTAGCTGTTTGTACGATGCCAGGGAAGATGTAATACTGCAGTGTATTAAAGAAAAAAATTAACCCGTAAAAACAAAGTTTTTCACTATAAATCCTTTATATGCGTGTTCAATGGGCTACAACCCAGCCCACATTGGTCTTTGAAACGGGCGGCTAGAGTCCTCTCGTCATCTGGCTTGAGATGGCTGCCACATATGGGTCAGATGATTGCCTGCCACTATTAAGCAATTGGTAATTAAATATAAAAAAAATTACCTAAAAAGTGTAAAATTTTGGGAAAAAAATTTGACGAAAAGAAATTGTTACGCACAACGAGTCTGTGTGCAAAATGTCAGCTCGATTGGATCACGGGAAGTGGGTTAAAAAACGACTGAAAGATTTGCACGGTCGTAAGCGCGCAAGCAAGCAAGCAAGTGAACTTAATATAAAGGATTTAAAAACACAGCCCATTATCCATAAAGATCAGACGATGCTCATAACTGCATATCCCCGGAATCATGTATCAGCTTGACAATCTGCAAATACGGTAACAAGAAAGCGGTCCGTGGAATATTTTGTGAGCAAAACAGTAACGTAGAGCTACATGCCATCAAGTTGCTTTGAGGGCACACTTGAATCGTACAGTGAAGGGCAAACGCTGACACTGAGAGCAGTGTTGTGGTGTTCCATGTCCAATGTCTGATCTCAGATATGGCAGCAGCACCACGAGTTATTGATCACAGATATGGCGGTAGCACCACGAGTTATTGATCACAGATATGGCAGCAGCACCACGAGTTATTGATCACAGATATGGCAGCAGCACCACGAGTTATTGATCACAGATATGGCAGCAGCACCATGAGTTAGTGATTACGGGACAAGGGTTTGCTTGATAACCGTCGTCCGCCAACGGAAAGTTGTGTGTGTGTCCATTCGAAGTTCTTAAGATTGTCAGTGTCGAGTGCTATCTCAAAGAATAAAGTCAATCACCCTGCCCCCCCCCCTCTCTCTGCCCTAAAGAAGCTATTGTGTCGATTTTCAAGCCTCTTCATTTGTAAACATTCACCGCACTTGGCATGATGGGCTGCTTATATGTTTACATTCAAGGGTAGTGTTACTAATACCTAAGGGGGAGCGCCTTTAGATTTGTGTCATCAATATGGTCTGTGAATGAACTTGAGCCAAGCTATCAAACTCAGTTCCGAACAGGTTTTTTTCACGATTCCTCTTATTTTGAATGTATTATGCATGTATATATATATTAAACAATGTATAGCCCGATTGTAATCCATTGCTGGATGAAAGCCTTACTACACCATATCCGCCATAGGATTTGTTTGACCATACTTCACCACAATAGTGAATGCAGGATGGTACAGGAGGTGCCCAGGACCAATTCACATATCGCTCACCACTGATGTTAGCCATGTCCAGCAATCAAACTCAGGTTGCTGAGCTCATAGCGCAGCATACTATACAACTGTATCACTCTTCCCCATATTTTCACATATATAAATTCTGCCTTATGGTAAGGTCTTTGGAATTACTTTTTCAGACTCCTGAAAATGCTCCTTTCCTACGAAACCAAATGTTTTTGTTGATTAACGGGACTGTGTTTTGCAGCTCCGTGGCTAATCTCCTGCGACCACGTTTCTGCATTATTGCCACGAATTGTTACCTGCTCTGCAGCAGGGAAATCTCAATTCTAGCCACAAACGCAAAAACCACGCGCATCACAAACGTACCAAGGTCTTAAGCAACAATGGCAATGTGGGTGGGGGGGGGGGGGATACAGTTTTGTGTCACATTGGAGGAGACAGCTCACCAATGAAGCCAGGAGCACAAAAGCAGCGGTAGCCACCGACGGAATTGATGCAGAGGCTGAGAGGTCCACAGGGGTCAGAGGAGCACTCATTGATGTCCAATTCACAGCGACGACCCATCAAACCTGCAAAGGACGCGTTCAGGCCGGAGTGTTTAATGGTGCTTAGAAATACACGGCCCTCCTTGCTGATCCGCTACCACGAGCGGGGAATTACAAATCACCAAGGGTCTGAAGTTTTATATATATAATTCATAGCTATGCCGGCATACTGCTGGAAGATAATATTTGGCTTTGTGATAATGCATTGATGATAGTATTGAATGATTCTAGATTTGAAGCTTTCGTGACTGCAATGATTCATATTCTTCGGTTTTTTCGGTAAAGTCACGTAGGTAAAAACATTAAAAAGTAAAATAAAATAAAAATCACGACGTTTCGGAGGCAACACAAGCATCCGTCTTCAGGTGGTACCGTCACAGCCACGACAGCTGTATCAAGTAAAACGAGAGATTATAGGAGCTACCACTCCGTTTATATAATGGTTATATAATGGTTATATAAACGGAGTGGTAGCTCCTATAATCTCTCGTTTTACTTGATACAGCTGTCGTGGCTGTGACGGTACCACCTGAAGACGGAAGCTTGTGTTGCCTCCGAAACGTCGTAATTTTTATTTTATTTTACTTTTTAATGTTTTTACCTACGTGACTTTACCGAAAAAACCTAAGAATAGTATTGAATGAATGAACCACTTCTTACAGAACCCACCTCGTGATATACGTCATGTAAATATGCAGAAAATATCCATACTCTTATGTGAAAACTACCCTAAAAGGTAAGATACGACAAATTTTGCCTTGACCAGAGTGTTGACATGTAATGCCTAAACAATGTGTTTTCCCACCCTATGGTTCACTGAGAAGTCTGTAGGGTGGATAGAAGTGACGTTTAGTAGAAGAAAACACATACAGAGAAACCCACACTACCTCCCATGGACAACATGAGTTTATTTTGATGTTCGTGCATACAGGTATTGATCAGGACAAGCTTTGCGTAGGTTACAATCATTCAAATGAGACGATATTTCAGGGTGACACCGAGTCGGCTCTGCTGAGATTCTCGAGTTGACTCTGGGCACTCACTCATGGTGGTCTCTGCCTGGTCTCGAACGACTGCCTAAAAACCCTCTCGTAATAGAGTAGTGTATTGTATTTTAGAGTGTAGTGTATAGTAGTGTATTGTATTGTAGTGTATAGTAGTGTAGTGTATAGTGCAGTGTATAGTATTGTAGTGTATTGTAGTGTAGTGTATAGTAGTGTATAGTGTAGTGTATAGTGTAGTGTATAGTATTGTAGTGTATAGTAGTGTAGTGTCTAGTGTATTGTGTAGTGTATAGTAGTGTAGTCTATAGTAGTGTAGTCTATAGTAGTGTAGTGTATAGTAGTGTAGTGTATAGTAGTGTAGTGTATAGTAGTGTAGTGTATAGTGCAGTGTATAGTATTGTAGTGTATAATAGTGTAGTGTATAGTAGTGTATAGTGTAGTGTATAGTAGTGTAGTGTATAGTAGTGTAGTGTATAGTAGCGTAGTGTATGGTAATGTAGTCTATAGTAGTTATAGTAGTGTAATGTATAGTAGTGTAGAGTAGAACCCTTCTTAACGACCACCCCTGTTCACAACTAAACGCTTAACGACGAGTCTTCATAGAGCCCAATGTGTAGTCTATAGTAGTGTAGTGTATAGTAGTGTAGTCTATAGTTGTGTCGAGTGTATCGTAGTGTAGTGTATAGTAGTGTATAGTAGTGTATAGTGTAGTGTATAGTAGTGTATAGTGTAGTGTATAGTATAGTAGTGTATAGTGTAGTGTATAGTAGTGTATATTAGTGTAGTGTATAGTGTATAGTGGTGTAGTGTATAGCGGTGTAGTGTATAGTAGTGTATAGTGTAGTGTATAGTGTAGTGTATAGTAGTGTATAGTGTAGTGTATAGTAGGGTATAGTGTATAGCAGTGTAGTGTATAGCGGTGTAGTGTATAGTAGTGTATAGTGTAGTGTATAGTAGTGTATAGTGTAGTGTATAGTGCAGTGTATAGTGTAGTGTATAGTGTAGTGTATAGTAGTGTATAGTAGTGTATAGTGTAGTGTATAGTGTAGTGTATATTGTAGTGCCTCCATAGATCCCAATCTGTTCGCTTACCGACAATTCCTCTGTTAACAACGGGCTGTTGTAGGTACAATAAATATGAATTAATGCATTGATTAACCACGTTTCTTTTAATATTATGTCTTTAAGTTAGCATTTGTATGTATTAATATCCATTGTTTAAATATTATAAAGTACGTTTTTTGGGTGAAAAGGGGTAAATTTCGATCCTATCGAAAATTTCGATGCTCTCGAAACGAATGAAGCCTTTAATGTGCATTTCCTTGGATTTGAATAAATTACAATCAACAATATCAGTTTGACTGTTCCTGAGAAAATCTCACTGCAGAGTGCATGGACGATAGCAAAGCTGCTCGAGTTGGATTTGTGTTTGGGGGGGAGAAATCCCGTGGAAAAAAAAAAACATTTCATGGCCTATTCTTCGACGCATGCCATACGCCGCATTGTTATGGGAATTGTAAATGGAGTCTTTATCTCGTGACAACGCCACGAGTACAATTGCAACATAAAACGAGTGGATGTAGGAGGTGGGGGGGAATAATATGGCATTTCAGAATACCAATGGTGTAGCGATAAGCAACTACAAATCGCATGCAAATGTGCATGTGACGTGTTAAACCATTGGTAATCAATTTAAACCTTTTGACTTGCATCGAATCTGTGCATTTGATAGCAACAGAAAGCATGTGTCTTGACAACAGTCATAGGAGAATTATTATTGTTTTCATAAATGAAAAAACACTGAGCTTTACCTTTCTTTAGCTTATTCAATTAATAGGTGGAAAAAGTATGTATCTTACTGTGAATGGCAAAGATCCAATTAATTAACCGAGTGAAAAAAAACCTCCATATACAGTGCCGCTTGATAATTAAACATTTTTCCAATAAAGACACTGGGCCCCTGCAACTACAGGCACTCCTTGACATACGCGATAGATGCGTTCCTGGAAAACCGCGCATATGTAAAAATCGCGTATGTCAAAAGCAATTTTCCCATAATAAATAGTGGTAAAGGAGGGGGTTAGGGGATTTCACTAACACCCACAGACATAATCGCCTATGTTATCCTAGCTCATATCAATACAATACATGTACACACAATATAATACGAGAGACGCGAGACAAAAGGAAGAGTGCTACTATACACATGGCGAGATGCTGTAGGGCAGGAGTGGGGAACGTCCGGCCCGCAGGCCGTATAAGGCCCGCGAAATCATTTTGTCTGGCCCTGCCAAGGCAACCGCAGGTGGGACTCGAAATTCAATAAATCTAGGAGAAAACCTGGAAAAGCAGTTGCGAGTAGCAACATCATCAATACCAGCTAACATTACACGCCTCGCCAAAGAAAAGCAGTTCCAGCCATCACATTAGGGGTGAGTTAATTAAATGTTTGACCAAATATAACGGGCTAATTTTTAAGTTGATAATTTTGTATGGCCCGCGAACGATGTTATAAATATCCAAACTGGCCCTTGGCAGAAAAAAAGATTCCCCACCCCTGCTGTGGGGTAGAGCGCACTAGTTATCGTACCGCACTGGCTGCTTGCAACGCCATTGGGTCGCGGTGCCAAGCTAGGGTGGCGTACGTCTCATTGCGGATTACGTTATTTCGAAAATTTCCTCGCGTGTGTCAAAAAAAGGTCGAAATACAAAGCGTGCGTTATTATAAAATGGCGTACCACGAAAGCACGTAAACCGAGGATGGCCTGTACAAACGTGGATTTTCCACAACTGGTTCAGGCACACCAACAAAGATGAACATGTCTCGACACTTAGTAGAGCACTGGGGCACTTTTATATTCATGGAAAGGAAAACCCCAGTGCTGTACTTTAATGTATATTTCGATGATAAGACTGGGCGTTTAAAGTTATTATTCTTAAATAAGCAAAAAAAGCGTACGCTTGTATAAGATTTAAATTGCAATGAAAAACAGTGTCAGTTTACAGTCCATTTAAAGTTGTTTAAAGCGATATATCGTAACTGCAGTGTGTTCTCTGCTTTTCTAGGGACTGCCATAGAACAAGGCCAGCTGTTATCAATTAAAACTTGTCCTTTTTAAGGGTGCGTTACATTACAATGCCTCCTGTTAGAAATGTAATGGCTGCATTATCTCATAGTTATATAAGCAGGCCTATGAATATCTGGGCCAACTCACGGTCTAATACTCAGTTAAGTGAGCAGCTTTTTATGTAGCTATAAATAGTGCACAATCTAATAGGTTTGTGGTCTAAGAGGTTACGAAAACATTTCTTTCTCACGTGGCAAATGCTTGACCTCGGGTGAGTGTGGCTCACCTGAAGGAAAGTTGTGTAATAATAGGCCTCGGCCTAGCAACTGAGCTGTCATGTGTCATACTCCGATCGGATAGGCCAACCTCCCCTATTTTTGAGAGCAAAACTAAAGATAGGAAAATATTAATTAAATACCACGAAGGTCATGTCAAAAGTCAGATTCATCTTGCTCAAGCAAGTAAAAAGGTGGGTATTATCTTCACTGGTCGCTCTAAGCTAGTGATGGAAATTCCACATTTCTATCAAAAACAGGACCCTGCGGGGTGGGCTGGTAAGAACGAATAACCAAAGAATATAAACATAATGTATTATTACACTTGTTTAGCCAGGAAAGCCCCACTGAGTCGAAAGGTTTTTGTAGGGTCCTGCCAAGTGTTTGCAGTAGGGGGCGATGTTGCTACACGGACGGACGGACGGTCGGACGGACGGACGGACGAAATAATCTATTGTAGGCTGGTCCACTTCGTTCCTACCAGTATAACCAGTCTCTCCATAGCATAACCACTATTGGTTTCCCACAAAATAATGGTCATTAATATGAACGCCAGTGGAATGATAGGCTGAGTAAATGTCCAACCGGGATCTGATGGAACCTTCTGGTTGTGAGCCAAATACTTTCAACAAAGCTTACACTTGGCCAGATTATATTTAAAATCAAAATGGATATCG